TTATACAGGGTGTTTATAAAGTCTCGGACCCATTTTGATGTTTAATAACTCATAAAATAATAAAGATAGATTAAAATTAATAACATAAATGGTTAGATAGACTCAAAAAGTTTCATGACCCTTGTCCTTGCTTGGCCACCCAGATCACCTGATATAACGCCGCTGGACTTTTTTCTTTGGGGATTTATGAAGGACAATGTCTACAGGAGGATCGTGTCGAGCATTGATGAACTGTAAGCCAGAATTACAACCGCAATAGCCTCTGTGGATGAGGACATGCTTGCCGCTTCCTGCCGTGAAATTGACTATCGACTTGATATTCTCCGTGCGACGAAGGGGGCACACGTGGAAGTTCATTGACTAGGATCATAAAACTTTATGAGTCTATCTAACCGTTTATGTTATAAATTTTTATTTTATGAGTTATTAATCATCAAAATGGGTCCGGGACTTTATAAATATCCCCTGTATATAACTATTTATGTGTGATAGATTGTATTTAATCAAAATTGAGGTATATATATATATATATATATATATATATGTAGGAAAAAATGCACATTTTTAAATCCTCACTTTTAAAGCACAGGACAATCAGGACATCAAAAAAGCATTTTAGTTTTTAGGAAAATATTTTAAACAATAATTTTTAAGTAAATTATAATAACTTTATAGTTAAAATTTATGCATGTATCAAAGCCTTATATAGCTTATATATATGAATATATACCCAATATACATGTATAGCCCTATATAAGTGACGTATATACATATAGGGGAGTGTCTGGTACCCCAGCCCACTGTCAATTTCATATGTATAGAATATTTTTTCAAGTCAATGGGACATCGAACATTAATTATTATATTAAAAAAAGATTATTTTCAAAGTTTCAAGTATTAATGCAGCTGGTAACATGGTAAACAATAGTTTTGAAAATATGTTGAATACAGTAGTCAAATTTTTTAAATTTCTATTTTTTAAAGTTAAACTATTCTTTTTTTGGTTTATTCTTTTTGCATTATTTAATTAGATGATAAAACAATAGAAACATACGAAAATATTGATTATTACTCAATATTATACAGAAATATACGCAATACTCCTGAAGTTGGCGGGGGTACCCGACTCTCCCTTATATAGTCCTATATACATGAATCTTAATGATGAATGTTAGAATAATTTTAATAATTCTTATCACATTTTAAGCCTTATGAGGACCATTAGGAAGCATTTAAGCCTGTAACTAAACACATTAGCACTAATGCATAAATCAATTAAGATAAGTGCTATCATTGATAGCAATATTTAATCATTGGTAGCAACATTAAGTGTTATTGATAGCGATATGAATCTTGAATTATTAAAAGGATCTAATTGTTAGTTTGTTATCACATTTTAGGATTTCCGAGGAGCATCAGAACTAATGGTCGGAGAAACTACATTATATTTGTAGTTTACTACTGCTACAACTACTTGGTTACAAATGTAGTTAACTACTACCTAACAATTTTTTTTAAAAGGTAGTGACTACGAACTACGTTCATTGTGGATTTGAATAAGAAAGATGGATTTGAATGGATTTGAATAAGAAAGTAGCTTCCAATAAATGTAGGGAAATAATTAATATTTCTTCAGGTTTTCATGAGCCAGTTTGTTATTCCAAAACATTTTTTTTTTCGAATTTGTTCATTTAACTTTTAACTTTTTACACCTTTCTTGACATCGAATATTTAATTTAAGAAAAGCGAAATTGCCAAATACTTGCAATTTTATTAAGTGCTTAATGCTCTTTTATTTCCTCAAAGAAATTAGATGCATTTAAAATACGTTAATTTCCTTTGAAATAACATTAATGCTTCACGAGTATGCATTATCATGTGAAAGTGCGACCACAGTGATTAATTATCTATTTTTCATTATGGCTAATTTATACGTGATTTTAAATGTGTAATTTCTGTTAAAGCTCAGCTGCAGTATTAGTGTAATTTTCATGGCATGTATTGATGGACCCGCGAAGAATTGTACTCATCAAATTTGAAAAATTAACCATTTTTTTTGAAGCGTGTTTCTCTTCTAAACCTTAAAAGTAATTGTGTGGAATCGCTACTAACTGCTTTTTTTTTGCATTGCACTACTCACAACTCTACTTTTTTACACTACTCACAACTCTACTTTACTACTTCTAAAGTAGTCCACTACACTACAAACTATGGAAAAAAGTAGCGACTTCAGTAGTTTTACTACTTGTAGTGTGACCACTGGTCAGAACCATATAAAATGCATGATCATCATATAAGTGCCGCACGTTACAAGCCACTAAAACTTATGATATTACCTGCTAATAATAAGAAATGTAGAAATCTTTGTCAAAAATACCTTAAATACCTTAAACCAAAGGATTTAATTTATATATATAT